CCTACTTCAATCAAAAGAATTCCATAACTGTATATGTCACATGCAGGAACATATTTTGGAAAACCTACACCAAACCTTTCTGGTGCTTGCCAGATACGTGCTTCTAATGAGTTTTCGTGATGTCTAACGCTATCCCAATCTATTTTGCGGGATAAAGTAAAGCCGGAGATCAATGGCCTCTTATCGTTAAGGTTAATAAAGATATTGGAACTAAAAAGTCATGTTAAGGATGTTCGATAAATAACATGATTTATACAGAAAGCATCACAAGAAGTCAAGATAATCACGACGTCATTCACCTTCTTATATCCTTATGAAGGATCCCGGAAGAATGAAGATAGATTAAACCATCTGCTACACCAGCAGCAACCTTCTTACGATCTATTGATTCCAGTCGATCGTATCCATCAATAATATCTTTCAAAGTTGTTTTGACAGAGCCATCACTTATCATTAAAACATGGTCAGAATCAATCTCGGCAATTCCGATAAATTCCATGATATGATGGCATTGCTTATACTGTTTTAGGAGCAAGGCAAGCCGACGAAGGTCCGTTCGTTGTCGCGATTGTTTCGCTCCCGAAATTTCTTTCATATTGATTTTTTCGATCATCACTTCATTACCACGCCATTGTCCGTATCCTCTCAGTTGATTATTCAAAACGTCGTAGTTCTCAATCTCGTCTTCATCAAGTACAACGTCTTGTAGGTCATTGTCATCACGTGGAATATTCTTTCGATCCCTGATCAAGATTGCCTTCGTTACAATTCTCATAAATGTGTAAAGGTGTTCAGAAGATTTTTCACATTGGTTTAGGGTGGTCGTCAAGGTCGACACATCAAGGGCGACCAAGGACGACACCAAGTCTCCGACAAGACGATTCCAATCATTCAATCTCTGAATTTCATTAGATAATTTTGTTTTCCCTATGCTCGCATACCACATGCTTCCTACAATATTGCGTTGGTTGCGCTTAACATAATATTCGCATTTTGTCAAGACTTGATTTAAGACCCTGATGTGAACCATCAAACTTTCTTGCACTGATTCTTCTAGTTCGTTAGTCGTCAAGTATTTTCTCAAGTTTTTCGCTACTTCTTTTGAAATAACAAGTTTCATTTGAACCTCAACAATTTTTTCTGGCGCATTTTTGAAGGCCTGCACGAGTACAGAAATACGGTCAATAGAATGAAGAACCGAATCGATAATACCCAGAATACCCAAGTATGCAATTGCAACTTCCGCCATTTTCAAATGATTGGCTTGTTGTATTGTCTGATACTTTTTATTGGTTCGGTCAACTATGCATTGTCAAGATTTGTGTACTACATCCTTGCATCACGAATGAATCCTTCAAGCATACCACCTCGAACTACGAGAGACGACAATGATGGAGATAAACATATCGTTAATGCTGAAGAAATTGTGCTTGGAAAGCATATAGGAAAAGGTGCCTTCGGTTGCGTTTACAAAGCTGTATATCGTTCGGAACATGTTGCTGTCAAGATAGTCAAGGCATCTGATTGGACACAAGTATTAAAGGAGATTGAAATCATGAAGAAGATTGGAGGCAAAAGTTATCATCTTATTCGTTATCGGGGTGAGTGTCTCGTGTCCGACGGAGAAAACAAAAATATGTACATTTTGATGGATTATGCAGAAAACGGAACCCTCAGGGACCTACTGCTAAATGTTACGTATAAACCAACATGGTCATTAAAAGTACGACTTTGTTACGATATCGCATCAGGATTGTCCAGCCTCCATGAACTTGGTATTTGGCACAACGATTTGAAACCTGCAAACATTTTGCTTGACGCTGGATCAAGGGCAAAATTGTGTGATTTTGGATCTTGCGACTTTGATGGCAAATTAAACGATAGATTTTGCGGCACTGCATTCTGGACTGCTCCTGAAGCCTTGGAGGATTATGGTACGACTCCTTATTCACATGAAAAAGCCGATATTTATAGTCTTGGTTTAGTTTTTTGTGCTATATTTCATGAA